TCTTTCTACTTACTTCAGTTCAATGGTTACTACATAACCTCAGTTCTTTGGTAGCATGGCGAGGATCAAGGGCACATGGGTTGTGTAATTCTGATATCAAGTCACTTGGATGGAAATAAAGGTGGAATACTGCAGGAAAATGAATACCCCAAATGTACTCTAAGAAATGGTTTATTAATATGAAATCAAAGTAGGAAAAAAGATATTATTAACATACAGCTCCAAGGTTAATTCCTCGGCTTCACTCAACTGTAATTACTCAGATCCTGTACTCTTACTACACACAACCTTACTGGTGTTATATTACCTTACAGTTACCAGGACCAGTTCCTTGGCTTTACTCACATTACATAGACACATGACAACTCCTTGGCTTTACTTAACTGCCAATCCAAGTGGGTACCTTACTTCTCACACATTACTGGTGATACATTTCATTACAGTACATTACCAGACAAACTTACATCTGATACCTTCACACTGTTGTTAGTACATATGAGATGCACTCACAACACACCACACGTTAATGCTGAAACCAACAACTTATACATGGGTAATTATCCCCAAACATATACAACACACTCTGTGGACCATAACTGCCAGGAGGGCTCCAGGGTAGAACACTCAACAACTGACGACCTCTGTTGTGGTTGGTTGTACTCCGACACGTGGCGAGTCTGGGGTCCAGCCCCACGAGGCAGACTTGGAGCAAGTTAATCATGTCGAATCAGCGCCATCATTCATATATTACTCACTGCTAGGTATCTACGGACTCCGGGGCTATCGGTGGGGTGTTCTGAGAGCCCACACATTTGAATCTGGGAACAGAGTTGGAGGACGTCACGGGAAGTATGGAAGACTCAATCACAACAAATCCCTCGTCTCTCAACGTCAGACGACATTTACTTTATATTACTTCTCACACTGGGTGAATGACAATTCCACTGTTACAACATGAACACTGATATTGACACAATTGACTAAATCAAACCGAATGGCTATATCGGCGGGAGGACACATACTACATACCTGAGAACAAAGTTGGAGGACTTCACGGGAGGCTTGATCCTCCGTCCCCCCGGGGTTTATATACCCCTGAGTTGCCAGACGTGGCTATCTCACGCACTGACAGAAATTACAAACAAACCAACTGTTATACATTCAAAGATGACCCTCAGTTGTCAAAGGTCTGGCGAATTTCTAAAGTTGATTTACATAATCTAATTCAAGATTGAGCTTGCCAGGAGTAAGTGGAATAAAAACGTATTGACAACTGTCTTTACAAAGGCGAGGCTTAGAGAGGAATCAGTAGTGTAAGCATTGAGGGGGAAAAACGAGTTTCTTCTTAGGGATAGCTAACCAGCTACCCACTCATGTTTTGCGGGCCTGTAGTATAATAACAGTCAACAGGGTTAAAACAGACTAGCAGTCAATGTGACCATGACAACTGTACATGTTCAGCGAACGTTACCGCATGATAGAAATCTTTGGGAAGGGGAAGGTGTGTCATAGTCACACTGGCACGGCTGGTCCGTTTGAAACCTGATGAGTCATAATCATATTATGCTCCACGCCCTCAAAACATATGGTGTTATCGCAGCTGGCTTTATCGTTGGTGTCAACAACCATGTGCCTCCCCCACCTCACACGCGGCCTGTTACCACACCAGATGTAGCGACTGGGGGGGGGGTGGGGGCGGTGTTTACCACCGAGTGTGTCATCACCACTGGCGTAAGTGCTGGCATCGCCGGGAGTGTTTTCACCACTGGCGTCAGCACTAGTGTCAGTGCTGACGTTTTTGCTGCCTTACCCGAACAAAGATTAAGGGGTGAGCGGTGTTTACGGCGGCGTGGCCACCTGGAATTTTTACCACCGGGAGTGTCATCGCTACTGGCGTAAGTGCTGGCATCGCCGGGAGCGTTTTCATCGCTGGCGTCAACACTAGAGTCAGTGCTGACGTTTTTGCTGCCTTACCCAAACAAAGATTAGGGGGTGGGCGGTGTTTACCGAGAAGAGATCATGACTCTGCTAATATATGGCTTAAAAGGCGGCGTGGCCACCTGGACTCTAGGAGACTGCCCCCTCAAGTGATGCTGTGAGGATCAACACTCTGCTAGCAGTGGTGAACAACAACTCCCAATCCTGGCCGAGTTTTGTACTGGAACAATTTACACAGAACTATCTTCCCTTGGTACACCATACTGGTTCGCATTGACCCGCACTTGTAAGTACAGCCAAAGTGATGACATACCCCTCAGTACTGAAATATTGTGGACTAATTATGCCCACTCGTTCCCGCCTTATCTGGAGCAATAAGACAATGCGGAATGAAGTGTAGCTAAGATTAATTGAGTTATGAACTTTGTATCATGTCATTATGCTCAATAATCAATTATAATTAAGATAAATTGTGTGAGACTAACTAATTATGTAACAGAAGATCACCATGTAATACTAATGAACGCCTTGTTGTTTGCAGGTTTTGACCACATCAATAAATATTGAACGCGTCAAAAGACGGGTTTCAATCATTCCCTTCGACTTGCCCGTCACCTGAACGTCCTTAACTAAGGCATTTATAGTCAAAACAAATGCGGGAGGGCATCGAAGGGAATACTCAACTACCAGGAGAAAAAAGGACCACAGGACACGTCACCAATGCCAGGAGTTCAGCGTGGAACAACGTAGATCGTCAATCAGCCACCCACCCACAGTGAGTGGGACATCGGCGCGGGAGACAGTGTCGTGTATTTGAATGAAGTGTTTAAATATCTGAGGAGTTGTCATAAAGTTTTCGGTTCAAGCGTACGCTGCTGTGAGCGTTTGTTTGTAACAAGCCGGCCCACGCACCCAGTGAGGCAAACCCACCCTCCCAGTGATTATACGTGTGTGCACCAGTGATCATAACGGGCAGCTGACAGGGTTTGAGGTAACAAATAACCAACTTAACGAATTACAAGGTAAGTGTGATTAAATTGACTTAATATCACCCCAATTTGTGACACCGTAAACAACCTGCAGTGATCCACTTGTAACCATAAGCAACCAGCAGTGATTCACTTGTAAACACAGTAAGTAACCAACAGTGAAGTGTCCCTAAATTAACTTAATATCACCCCAATTTGTGACACCGTAAACAAACTGCAGTGATTCACTTGTAACACCGGAAGTAACCGACAGTGAAGTGTCGCTTGTAACACCATAAGCAATCAACAGTGACCTACTATTGTCAAACATACATACAAGCAGCGAGCCACACCACTGAACGCAAATAGACCTCAGTGAGCAGTGGTTCATCGAACAAACTTTGAGACCTAACCAGAGCTGAAAATAATTCTCAATAAGAGGACCAGAGGTAGCGGGAATGGATCCAGAGCAAAGAAAGGGAAATGTGAACATGGATAAAGGTGACGGAGACCCAGTGGCAGTAGTTGTCCCTCCGGAGCTGAACGACCACGATGTTACAGCCGCAGAAACTGAAAGGGGCCACCCTCTGCCTGAGTCTGAATGCTTAGCACCTGACCAAAATCCCGGATCTAACATATTGGCAGAAGTACGACGAACTGTGACTGAAATGCTGGAAGCATATTTTGCAAAAGGGAACACAGCACGACGTTTGGACGAAGGGAGCGACCAACTCAGGCTGAAGACAACATCAGGGGGGGGGGGACTCTTGGCAAGTCTCCCACTGTGATGACTGGACGCCCCAAAGGCCATGAGGAATCGACCGACAATGACGAAGACGTGCAAAGAGTTGAAATGGAGCTGCCTGAAAGGAGAGAGAAGTACGGCGGCAAGGAAGAATCCGGCAGCACCTCAACTTCACTGAAGGGTATGTTGTCATCCTACCACATGCAAAATGCACGCATCCCTACTTTCAAGGGGGAGAGCCGTGGAGAATATTGGGACTACATGAATAGCTTCAAGAGATATGTGGGAACCTTCACTGCCCCAGATTCGGAGAAACTTCAAATGTTAATCCACTCGTGTTCAAGTAATATTCGGAATGTTCTGAACCCATTCACCAGGATGAAGTCCTCTGAGGGCTATAGAAAGGCCCTGAGTATCCTGAAGGACCGGTATGGTGATGAGGACGCCCATATCGAAGAATTATTGATGAACCTGATCAACGGACCACCTGTCAAAATAACCAACGGCGAGGGCTTGCAGGACTTGGCCGACGAACTTCAGGCGTGCATTTGCAGCTTTGAGTCCATGGACTGACAAGAAACCCTCGAGCATCTCCTCGTAAAGAAAGACATAATTGAAAGGCTTCCTGGTCGTTTACAAGAAAGGTATGAGATTGTAGTCCTCGATCACCCTCCAAAGAGATATGGCCACATGAAAATAAGGGACATCTGGTAGTTCATACAAAGCAGAGAGAAGGAGGCAAAAAGGGCGCATACTCGATACACTAGCCTGAGGTACGAGGGAAAAGACCGATCTAGCAAACAAACCATGACTCTTGTGACCAACAACGTGGGAGAACGAGATTGTCCACTTTCTCATGGCCCTCATCGGTTGCCACAATGCTCAAACTTCCGGAAGTTAACAAAGATGGAAAAAAGGAACACAATCAAAGAGTTGGGCTATTGCTTCTTGTGCCTAAGGGGCCGGCACCAAGCTAGCAACTGTATGTCTGGCTTCCGCCCATGCGACATCGACGGGTGTGGTAAGGCACATTCAAGATGGCTCCACCTGCCAAAGGAAGGGACAGGTGTGCCGCCAAGGAAGGCAAGTGGGAGCAGCCGCCAGATCATAAAATCGAATAGGGTAGGTGCTGACGTTAAGGAAGGCCGAGGATTCAAGAGAGAGCGCCAGGACTGTGACTTCGAAAATAGAGAACAGAGTGGTGGAACCGGAGGAAGAAAGAATAGAAAGAGAGAGCCCCAAGAAGATGACCAAGGCAATCAGCTGAGGCGGTTCGACCAAGCCGACAACAAGCAAGGAGAGAGGACATATGTGAATTACGTGGATACTACTGTAAGAGGGCTAGATCAATGACAAAGCCAAGACAAGGTCGCACTCCCACTACTAGAAGTTCAAGTAATGGGAAAGGGGTTTACAGGATCAGAGAACCACAGCGCTACTGGACACAGGCAGCGACAGGTCTTACTGTGCCAAAGGACTGGTCGAAAGACTAAGAATACGAGGGAAACCAACATTGTATGATATGGACGCGAAGTAGTACCTTAAGCTGTGTACCCTTATATTACTCCATTAATTATGTATAATAAAGTATTACAGAACATGTATTAATTCTATGTAATATCTCCATTTATTGTGCACTATGTTATGTATATAAATTATCATATTTACATTGTATGTATTCAACTTGTGAATGCTGGCATCTGTACATGCAAGCGCGCAGTAATACATAGATATAGTGAAGACAGCCAGTCCTTGTGGTGCGGAAGTGAGCTTCTTGGTCCCCTTGTATATATATCTCCCGTACGAGAATAGAACCTACTTTTAAGATAACAAGTGTTTATATATACCTTCAATAGCACAGAACATTTTGGAGGTATCAAGACGAACGTCAGAAACATCACTCTTCATAAACATTTTAACCCAAGGGGATCAATATAACACCACAGAAGTAGATCTGGAATTAAGAGGCATTAACACCCGGAGAGTGAAGTGCCCCATATCCCTTCCTAAGGTACTAGTACTTGACAGACTGCCACCTTCTTTAGAAAACTCAACAGCAACAGCCCTAGACATAGATGCTTGGGAACATCTTCGAGGACTTGCTCCACTTCCACCAAACAGACGACTCGCAGAGTTACTGATTGGACAAGATTGCCCAGATGCCCTGACTCCCCTCGAGTGTCAGACTGGGCCGGATGAAGCACCTTTTGCAATAAGGACAAGATTGGGTTGGACGATTACTGGGCCCCTATTGGGCAATTTAACTCACAGGTTTACAACGGAATGTTCCATGCTGACTGCCTCTACAGAAAAAACTCGTTTGGAAGAGCAGGTGAGGCGCTTCTGGGAAATCGAAGCATTACACCAGACCCCGGGAGATGGCTCCCCATCATCGGTAGAGGATAAACGGGTCATCAAGCTTTGGTCGTCGACTGGACAGAGAGTACAGGGACACTACCAATTCCCAATTCCATTCCGACGTCAACCGCCCTGTCTACCTAACAACAGAGCGCTCGCCGAGCGCCTATTACTGGGAGTAAAGAAACGCCTATCGAGGAACACAAGGTTGAGACTACGGTACAAGGAGGAGATGGAAAAGTAATTCAACGAAGGCTTCGCCGAAAGGGTGCCACTAAGGCAATAATCGAAGTCCGGTGGAAGTAGCTGGTACCTGCCTCATCATCCAGTACTAAACCCCAATAAACCAGACAAGGTACGGATCGTCTTCGATTGTGCAGCAGCCTTCACGAAGACTTCACTCAACAACCAAGTGCTCCAAGGACCAGACCTCTACAACAAATTAATTGGAGTACTCATGCGGTTTAGACAAGAGCCGATCGCCCTGATGGCCGACATCGAAGCAATGTTCCATCAAGTGAAGGTAAACCCCGAGCACAGAGACACTTTACGATTCCTCTGGTGGGAAGGTGGAGATTTGACACAAACGCCAATGACATGTAGGATGACAGTGCATCTCTTCGGAGGAGTGTGGAGTCTCTCGTGCACGGCCTATGCTCTGCAACGGACCTTCCAAGACTTCAGAGATGGGTTCTCGGATTCCGCCAATAGAGCGAAATCAAACTTTTATGTAGACGACCTGCTCCTGTCAGTAACTGAACCAAAAGAAGCAATTATGATATCTCGGCAGTTGCGACATCTTCTTTCCCTGGGAGGTTTCAAACTCACAAAATGGATCAGCAACAACAAAGAGGTCCTCAACACGATACCACTTGAAAGTCGACATACTGTAGTGAAGGAAGTGAACCTGGGATGTGAAGACCTACCCACGGAGAGAGCCTTGGGAATCATGTGGGACCTAAATGGAGATCAGTTTGCAGCAAAGGTTCAGGTTCCCACCCGACCAGCGACAAAAAGGGGCTTACTTGCAGTGGTAAGCTCGGTGTACGACCCTTAAGGATTCATCTGCCCTTTCAAAATCAAAGCCAAGCTCATTCTCCAAGACGAATGCAGGCGGAAGAAGGACTGGGATGAAGACATCACCAAGCAAAACCTTCACAAGTGGTTGCGCTGGCTTGAAGATTTGAAATCACTGCGAAACTTCAAAGTTCCTCGCTGCTACAGACCTGGGGGCCTGGGTTGTGCCACCTCATCGCAACTCTATCACTTCTGTGACGCCTCACAAGTGGCCTATGCAGTTGTAACGTACCTACGGACAGTAGATAATGAAGGTAATGCCAGATTTTCTTTCGTTTGTGGCAAGGCTCGTCTGGCCCCTCTCAAACAGCTAACGGTCCCAAGGCTAGAACTCTGTGCAGCAGTCCTGGCGACAAGAGCAGACCACACAATCAAGCGTGAAATTGGAGTCCCACTTGAAGAATCCGTGTTCTGGACGGACAGTATGATTGTGATCATGTACATCGGCAGCCTAGAGAAACGTTTCCATACGTTCGTTGCCAACAGGATCTCAGCTATACATGAAGTCACGGAAGAGGCCCAATGGAGACATGTACGATCAAGATGGAATCCAGCAGATGATGCTACAAGAGGCATTCCTGTTGAAGACATGTTAAAAGAATGCAGATGGATTGATGGTCCTTCTTTTTTGTCTCTACCTGAGGAGTACTGGCCGAAAAAAACGGAAATCAGACACGAACTTGAGAACGATCCTGAGGTTAAGCTCGAGGTGGTGTCATTAGCCACGGCAGGAAATAATGCTGATGCCATCATGCAACTGCTATGGAACAGGTGTTCATCATGGCATGCGCTGCAGAGAGGTGTATCCTGGATCAGGCGAGTATCCAGCATCCTGAGACACGACTTTCAGGGTGCAACATCGAAGCCGCTGGAATTGCCTGAACTACGGAATTCCAAGTGGGCCATTATTTGGTTCCTGCAGCAGGAGGCCTATGGTGAGGAGATGAGCCTCCTGCAGCACCGACAACTGCCACGACAAAGTCGACTGTACCGACTAGAGCCATACCTAGGCCAAGACGGGCTGCTCAGAGTAGGAGGAAGGTTACAAGATGCCAAAGAAAGAACTGGACCAATACTACTGCCCAGAGACCACCCAGTAACCAAACTTATAGTGCGGGAAGCACACTCCGTGGGCGCTGGCCATTCCGGGAGAGAACATACACTGTCCATACTCTGGTGTGAGTTCTGGATAGCCCGTTGCCGCCCTCTGATCGATAAGATAATAAAGGAGTGTGTCACTTGCCGCCGTAACAATTGGAAGCCAACTAGGCAAAGGGAAGCCATGCTGCCCGAAGACCGGACCAAGCCCATTCACAGTAAGACAAGGATGAAAGAGTACCAAGAGATATGGCTGCATATTCACCTGTCTAGCTACTCGTGCAGTGCACCTGGAGGTGTTGGAGTCTCTAGATACAGATGCATTCCTAAACGCTACTGTCCGCTTCATCGCCAGAAAGGGTACGACTCCGAAACGTATTAGTTCAGACAATGGCACCAACATGGTCGGTGCTTGCAAGGAACTCCGTGCGGCAGTGCGTAGTTGGAGGAATGATGAACGCATAAACAGACACTTTCAGAAGAAAGATATAGAATGGGTATTCAACCATCCAGCAGCTTCACACATGGGAAGAGTCTGGGAAAGGCAAATCCGAACAGTCAGAAAGGTTCTCAGAGCAATAGTGGGGACCCAAGTCCTGGATTAATATCGACTGCAGACGCTATTTTGTGAAGTGGAAGAAATCATAAATAATCGACCCATCACCCCTGCCTCGAGCGACGTGAAGGACCTGGAAGCGCTTACACCAGCCCACATCCTCCATGGTGGCCCACACGCTAATCTGTCACTAGGAGGATGTCTTCTGAAGGACTCATATCAACGACGGTGGCGGCACGTGCAGTTCCTAGCAGATAGCTTCTGGAAACGCTGGGTGAGGGAGTACTTCCATTACTCCGCAAAAGACAGACGTACATAGAACCAACCCGAAACCTCCAGGAAGGCGACCTCGTCCTCGTCACTGGAGAAAGTCTTCCTCGCAACAAATGGCCATTGGGCAGGGTAACGGCAGTGGTCCCAGGGGCTGATGGTCTGGTACGCCAGGTGCGTGTGCAAACAGTATCTGGGGAGTTCCAAAGGCCAGTGACCCGTGTATGCCTTCTTGAACACGCCACACCGCTGGCTTTATCGTTGGTGTCAACAGCCATGTGCCTCCCCCACCCCACACGCTGCCTGTTACCACACCAGATGTAGCGACTGGGGGCGGTGTTTACCACCAGGAGTGTCATCGCCACTGGCGTAAGTGCTGGCATCGCCGGGAGTGTTTTCACCGCTGGCGTCAGCACTAGTGTCAGTGCTGACGTTTTTGCTGTCTTACCCGAACAAAGATTAGGGGGTGGGCGGTGTTTACGGCGGCGTGGCCACCTGGACTCTTTACCACCGGGCGTGTCATCGCTACTGGAGTAAGTGCTGGCATCGCCGGGAGTGTTTTCATCGCTGGCGTCAACACTAGTGTCAGTGCTGACGTTTTGCTGCCTTACCCGAACAAAGATTAGGGGGTGGGCGGTGTTTACCGAAAAGAGATCATGACTGCTAATATATGGTTAAAAAGGCGGAGTGGCCAACTGGACTCTAGGAGACTGCCCCCTCAAGTGATGCTGTGAGGATCAACACTCTGCTAGCAGTGGGGAACAACAACTCCTAATCCTGGCCGAGTTTTGTACTGGAACAATTTACACAGAACTATCTTCCCTTGGACCACCATACTGGTTCGCATTGACCCGCACTTGTATGTACAGCCAAAGTGATGACATACCCCTCAGTACTGAAATATTGTGGACTAATTATGCCCACTCGTTCCTGCCTTATCTGGAGCAATAAGACAACGCGGAATGAAGTGTAGCTAAGATTAATAGAGTTACGATCTTTGTATCATGTCATTATGCTCAATAATCAATTATAATTAAGATAAATTGTGTGAGAGTAACTAATTATGTATCAGCTAGATCACCATGTAATACTAATGAACGGCTTGTTGTCTGCAGGTTTTGACCACATCAATAAATATTGAATGCGTCAAAAGACGGGTTTCAATCATTCCCTTCGACTTGCCCGTCACCTGAACGTCCTTAACTAAGGCGTTTACATGTGGATAACTGGTGAGTTATCCCTAGAAAGAAACGTGTTTTCTCTAGCTCAGGTGCTGTCCATTTTCTGTGACTTCCTGAAACCAACCTGTCTATAAGTAAATTTGAATGTGAGAGAGAACTCCATTGTTTTGAGTCAACTTAGATGTGTCTGATTACAATTAAAACATTTAAGATCATTTGTGAGTGATGTTGAAAGCTTCAACTGTCTTTATTGTTAGTAACACTTGTCAAGTAAGTGGGTGTCGAGTCTGCCAGTACGAATGGCATTCCGTGATATCGTCCTTGGGGATAGCCATGAGTTTCCAATTGCTACTGAAGTTAGATTTTTTTTTATGCCCAAACATCAGAGAATCTGATATTTGTAGTTTGATGATTGTCAGTTGTCTATTTAAGAAAGTCATTAATCTCCTGAAAAGAATATGTCACACTCTTATCTCCAAGATCTCAACGTATACCCATAGAGGGTCCTTGCCTTGAAATCCCGCTGATGTTGTGAGAACGTTAAGAGCGTGTGTATTTGATGCCTATTTCACTTTTTCCTGGCAAGCTCAATCGCTGATTAGATTATAAAAATAGACATAAGAAATTCACCTGATCCATGACACTGATTTTCATAGTTGAATGTACAGCAACTGAGTTGAATAGAATTTCTGTTGTTTGTGAGATTAGCCCTTCTAGCATGCTTGCACAGGCCTGAGTTGCCAGTAGCCCGTATATAAACGAATGCATGAGGATGACTCACACGCTCGTGAATCTCCCTCAACACATCTTAGGTATGTGAACGATTGTTTCCCGCCGCCATGTAAAGTCAGTTGAACTCAGTTGAATTTTGTTAATATCAGTGTTCATGTTTTAACACAGTGAAATGATCATGTACCAAGCATAATTAAAGTAACGTCTATATCGTTGCCAGCTTTATATTATGTGTAGTTGATGTTAGACCATTTTAACATGCTCGTGACTCTTCCTCAACACATTCTCCAGGCACAGAGTGGGTGTTAGCTGAATACCCAGCAGCTGCATACCAGCTGGCTGTCGTGAAGGATGTTGTTAATTCGGCACGATTGAATTGAGCGAGTCTCGCGCCCTGGGAACTAAGCCCATGGGACGAACTCCCTCTCAGAGTGTTGGACTGCAACCGACCTAACAAAGCTCTTCGTTTGTTGGTGTGACACCAGTGTGACACCCTGGTCCCAAAGTATTATTGTTGTGCCTGATTGGGAATAACTAGCAGAAATACCAGTACAATTATCCCAAGTTGAGTATTAAACCCCTAAATATTGATGTTACCAGTAATAACGTTTGTTATGTGGGTTGTGAGTACATTATTCAAATGTACTACCAACTGATTCCTACCTATTATTGTTGTACCTGATTGGGGATAACTAGCAGGATTATAGTTATCTCATGTTGAGTATTGAACCCTTAAATATTGATGTTACCAGTAATAACGCCTGTTTTGTGAGTTGAGAGTGCTGTACATCATTTATATGTACTACCAACTGATGTAAGAAGCGAGAGTATCTAATTGGAATTGCAAATGAATAAGGCCAAGGAGTTGATCCTTGTAATTGTATGTTAAAGACATCTTTAACCAAACTTAATTTCATAACAATAAACCATGTTTAGAGTATGTTAGATGTATCATTTTCCCTCAGTATCTACCTTTACTCTTGTCCAATAGTTTGATACCAGAATTACAGAACCACATGTGCCCAAACCCTCGCCATGCTACCAGAGGTCAGAATTGAATTGTAACAGCTTAGCCAGAAAAATACAGATACAGAGTGGATAATAATAACAATATTAACTTGGCTGAGCCAGTTGAGAACCTGATCTCTCTTTGAGGTTATGAAGTAACTATAGGAAATGAAATAACTAGACAGAACTAATGGAGAAAATGAATGAAGTAAGAAATTAAGAGAATAATAGGTTGAAGAGTTAAAAATTAACCACGATGAGATAAAACAGCATAGGAAAAGAAAAAAAAAGGTCCCCGCCCTTATACCACCACCACCACCCAGACCACTAACATACCCACAACCAACTCCACCAACCTGCCACACCCCCACCTGACCATAAGCAGGCAACTACCACAAACGCCAAACTAATAACAAACTTAACAAACTTCCACAGAAACCACAAAAAGCATCACACACAAAACACAAACAGAAACCCCAACAAACTCCCTGTAGACTCCGCACCTCCCAAACTACCACCACTACTAACAAACCTCCCAAGTACACTCATCCCACATCCCCCTTCGCCACCTCAGCCAAACCCACACCTGACTCCATTCAAGCAACTACCACCACCACCAACCACGCCACTAACAAACCACAACAATCTCCACCAATTTTGCTGCACCTACACCTGACCTCACCCAGGAAGCCACAACACCCATACCAATAATAGATTACCAGAGAAACCACAAAACAAACAGTTACACCTCGCCTTCACCACTCCCAGACAAGGAAAGACTCAAAATAGCAATTAAAATGTACCAACACATTATACATTACTTTAAATCACCCGACAAGCTCCCTAACCACAGCCCATCTCCCACCACCTCCTCATCCACCTACAAGCACATCCCCTGCATACCTGCACCAACACACCTACATCCCAGAAGAGATCACGATCTGTTTCGGTCACTCTGAAAACACAATCATAACTTAGTTGAGAAACACTCAGATACAGGAAACACTCCTTTAAAACAAAAACAAGACAAAAAGCAACAAGGCCAACAAAGACAGTAAAAGCCATGCAAACATGATCACCATAATACAGTGCAACTGTAGAGCATACTTTACAAGCAAACACATCATCTCTATCCTTCTACAGTACAAGAACACAAGCCAGACATCCTCCTTCTCAACTCAACATACGCAACACAAAAATCAAGCACCTTAGCTACAAGTGCAGACAATCATCACAATAAAATCACGAGGGTGTAACAATCCTCACCAGATCCTCCATCAAACACGAATTCATCACCAATTTCACCTTTAAACACTTTATGGCCTCCAAGATCAATACTAACACGGGCAGATACTGATATACACAACGTACACAAGGCCAACCACTCGCATCCCTTTCACAGACCTGAATTCCACCTTCAACAACACAAACCTATCATTAATACTAATGGCTGATCTCAACGCAAGACACAGCATTCTAAAATAACAACACAACAGCCATGACCAACAACTACACATGTTCACACACAAAAACCTTCATCACATTTGACTTTTCTTCCCTACGTATTACCCTGGACTTGACAGAAACAACACAAACATAGTCATCACAAACACATTATCCCTTCAATTTCAACATTAAGTTTCACCAGGCCCCCTTGTCAGGTTCAGATCACATACCCATTGTTATGTTCTGGGTAATAAGTTCAATATACAGGAACGAACACAAACACCTGTATAGATTTTGTAGGTTCGATTTACTGGATAAGAGATATGTACACAGAGGGAAGTAGTGCTCTCCGACCTAGCTGCTTGTCAACTGTTCTATAGACGACGTATGGCAAGTGATACATTAGCAGCTTCCATACGTCGCCAGGCACATTAATTAAGCATGTGGGATATGGTAATTACATTGCCACACGCTGCTAGCTAGGCTGAATAAATAATACATAAATGGAGCACATACATAATATACATACATAATATATAATCCAGCATACATAATATACATACACCCATTACACTACAACCCCATCCTGATCCCAACACCTCCACCACAATATCAAAACCTTGACGCAGACTGGGACACTTTAAAATCCACACTAGTCGAACAAGAACAACAATACACACTCACTCTCGAGCACCAACCAACAGGAAAAATATAGAAAACGTACACACAAATCTATAACACAAAGACCAACTCAGAGGACACACACATACCAACACGTTCTCACAAGAAAAGATAATCCTTCAAACCTTCTATCAGAACACAACGATTGCTACACTGCTACAGACGACGATTCACAAAAACCAAAACTACCTTGCACCAGTACAAAGAGACATCACTGGACTAAGAAGACACAGGAGCACAGGACACACAACCTCCAGGAATTCTAACAAAGAATTGTCAAACTCAGGGGGATATCCCGGTCCCCATTCGATTTTCTGTTAGTAAACGGGAGATGAATCAGAGAGCCAGCTGAAGTAGCACAGACATTAAAAAAACACTGGGAACACATCTTCCACCAACACACCCCCAACCCAACACAGACCCATCCTAAACGGCATAAACAACATCCCCACACTACAAGATAGAACCACACCAAAAATACTATAGACACCATTACTCTCACACAAGAACACATCCTCACTGCATCATTCACCCCAGCAGAAGTCAAACAAGCACTCGACAGAGCAACGAAGAAAACACCACACCAAGCGACAGCAAGATAGGACACCAAATCCTTAAACAATTACCCCTAGAAACAGTCACAGCCATCACATACCTCTACAACACTTAACTTGCTTCAGGATACTTCCCCAAACTCTTTAAGGCAGCCACAGCCATGATAATCCCAAAACCAGGCAAAAACCATACAGACCCATCAACCACCTACAAGTCTTAGTCAAGACATTTGAAAAACAACCTTGAAGATGAAGAACTGCTTTCATATAAACAGTTTGGACTAGGTTCACCTGCAGCTTCAGTCGCCACCACTCCCTGATCACCATTACTGTCTGCCATCGTTTATTTTAACTCACCAATAACAACTCACTGTAACTACACAGACATTAGACACAGTGCATTCTCAAAATCCGCTCGGAATACGACTCAACTGACCAGTCACTGACTAACGGTTAATACTATACGAGACTGACACAAATGAATTTGGGGGGAGGTACACGTAATTATTCTTACTCCCTTCAAACACTCTCACTGCAAGGCTGAAAGTAACCAGGCATCTGATCTCGAAATACACACAGTGCACCATACATCCCACCAATTGGCTAGCTATTACACTCTAGAGTAGGCCAATAATGAACCACTCTGCATTTAGAATTCTTAGGTAAGCACCTTCTCAAATGTAATTTTAAAATTTTATAGCAGAGAACTCAGATATTATAATGATATCAATAAACACACTACAAAATATTAAATGCTAGAACATGGCCTCCCTAGCACACAAATATTAATGAATGTTACAACCTCCAACTACACATCCACTTAACCTTGAACTGTGCAATACTTCCGGGGCCTCTACTATGATGAAACAGTTCACCAAGACACTAATGCCATGGCCCGAATATATACTCACTGTCTGTAAGTAATACCTGAATTAACAGGTTGGGAAAAAATGGCAGATTATCACTCATAAAACACTTCATAAATTAATAACCCTCATCTAAAAATTTTAAATCACAGACCAAAGATATTCGTTAAGGAAATCAATAGTTGGCAGTCTTACTCTGAATATTTTACGTTCCCATACAACAGTAATGCAAGTATAATTTATTAAAAAAAAATTCTGAACCAATTGTTTTTCTTACGCAACTTCCAAGTGAAATCTTTAAATTTGAAATGTTATTTCAACTCTCTGCCAAAACACAAAGAAACAATTATGTACACTTCTTCAACATTGTTTCCACAAAAAACCAAAAAAAACAAAAAAAACAATAAGTACCTATGAAATAACTATGTCCCTACCTAACTCGTACAAAATTCACAAAAAAAGGAACAAAATTATTAGGAAACTGATATAATCACTGATACATAGAAATGGTTATTAGGTACCTGTACAGAGAAATGGTTATTACTAATCACAGTTAAAAACAGCCCAGAGCACCACGTTCATTCTTCACAACTTGATACCATATTAAATTACGACCACAGCTGCGAACCATTTGTAGGGGCGAGAGATTGCTGTCACCTATTATAAGGGATCTACTTCCTATCATTGTACTTTACTTTCTCTCTCTTTCCAACCACTTCAACAATTACTGTACTTTCTGACTTAACTTCTGACTTGTGGTAGCATGGCTCGAGGGTACGACATGTGGGTAAATGTAATAACGGTACCAAGATATATGGAGAAAATAAAGGTGATCACTGTAGGAAAATAGTACCCCTAACATACAATAAAAATGGTTTACTAAAATAATGCTAGGCTTTTGACTACTTCCAGTAACACAATAGTGACAATGTCCACTCCATAGCAATACTCAGACACTTGTTAACACGGTACACTACATATCTCACAATCACCCGTACTTGGTGTACCTGTAAAAAACATATACATTGTAAATATGCATAGAGTACACTTGGAATCCAACAACAGCCCAGAGAACCTGACAGATTGCTCTCGTTGACAGAACAGAACTCGTAGCACTGGTATTCCTTATAAATACCTCCCTTGCTACTCTGTTACATAGCCAAGCAAAACATGGCGACCTTCACACTAGGTAACTCCAGACTCCCATACAATTGGAAATAACATACCAGAATACACGGGCGCAATTACGACCCACGCACTACTCAGGAGTGGGCTCATACAAACAGCGACATAGCCTAAGCTGGTGTTGTTTACGTCGCGGAGTGGCCACAGGGGACAGTGGACGTCTTTGGTGCACGTTCTTAGTAGCCGACTGGTTCACAACA